CAATTCCCCAATAAAAATATTTAAAAAAAAAAGGAGGCAGACTGCTTGGGCTAAAAACTGTGTGTTACGACATTGCTAAGGGGACTGTGCTTTTTCTCAGAATGTTCCTGCTGTCATAGGCACAGATGGGTGCAGCTTGGGGCACCATTTCTAGGGTCATTGAATGCAATGCTAGGGAATTTCTTTCACTTACATGCTAGTATTTTGCAATTTTTGCAAAAAGGATTGGAGGTGGTATATACACGGACTTTAATGAGCAGTGGGCATGAGAGAGAGAGGCTTAGGGAAGGGAGCAGATGAGAAGCCTGGCCCTATGGCCCCTGTCGCATGACCCCATCTCATCATCAGGAGAGACACTGGCTCCCAAGATGAGGGGGCGTGCCTACTAGCCCAGTAGTAGGCTCTCAGTAGTGAGGTGCACAGGTCCTCCACCCCAAGGAGAGCGCCAGCATGCACTGATGGGATGGTGAGCCACAGGGGATGCCGGTTCTGTGCCCAGCCTGACTGGGCATGGAGTGTCCCAAGGTTCTCAGGCTGGACTCCGATACAGTGTACTGCCCTGGAGGCCCAGCAATGGCCGAAGAGTTGCCCTTTAAAGACGCAACTTGACCCAAATACAGAGCCCTGAATAACCGCTAGATCGTCCGTCCTGCCTAAACATGTCAGTCCTGCAGAGCCAACAGTGAGGGTCCAGGGACCCCTGCGAGCACCTGGGGGGCTGCAAGAGGGTCATGCTTTGGAAATTTCAGAGCCCTCTCCCCAGTATTCTTCCTAGGAGGGTAGTCTGCCCATGGGGCAGGTCAAGGGAGTGCCTGGCTGGGCTGTGGCACTCACAGTGGGATCACGTGGAAAGCCCTAATCTTGACAAAGAGCACGGAGGACGTGTCTGTGGACTGATGACATTTCAGTGTGGTGAGCGTGGGAAGTCAGAATGGTGGTAGCAGCAAGTGTGACTGCAGACCTGCGATAGCTCGCCCCGTGGCCCGAAGAGCAGAGGGCTGAAGTGACTCATCAGAGCCAGGCAACCTGCTCCAGAGTCCGCTGTCACCCTGACACCTGTGGGAATGCTCAGCCACCCTCAGGAACCCCGAGCTGCCCGCCAAGCCGAGCTGCCTGCAGAGCTCACCCTGGCTTTCTCCTCTGTGTTCCCAGTGTCCAGCGTGTGTCGTCAGCATCTGCAGTAGCCAGAGGCGGGGAATAACCTTTCACCTTTCATCAGTGGCATCCTCTGACCCCCATTCAACACTGCTTTCCCTGCTCTGCCTGCGCCTTCCTGCAAACAGCAGTGAGGCCACAGACACAAAGGAATGGAGAAGCAGTGAGAGGAGGAACCAGGAGAGTCAAGGAGGAAAAGAAGGTCTGTAGAGCGAGCCAGATCGGAGCTCACGCAGATGTGAAGCTGTGGGAAGGGAGCACTTAAAACGCCTGGCAAGGGACGGCCAGTTAGCTCAGGTGGTTAGAGCGCAGGCTCATAACACCAAGGTTGCCGGTTCGATCCCCACATGGGCCAAAGAGCTGTGCCCTCCACAACTAGATTGAAACAACTACTTGACTTGGAGCTGATGGGTCCTGGGAAAAACACACTGTTCCCCAATAAAATTTCTTTAAAATAACCAAAAAACCATCTGGCAAGGCAGGGGCCCGAGCACCACAGCTGCTGGCTCTGGGCCTAGAGCAGCCCATCGGCCCCCACACAACAGGCCCTCATGACACCTCTGCTGTCAGAACACGAGGAGCGTGTGGTCGCAGCCTAGCTGCTTTGGGCCCCCCGGAGAGGGCTCCAGCGCCTCCAGGTCAGATCACTGACAGATTGAGTGACAGGCCGAAGAGGGCTTGGAGGAGAGAAGAAAGGATAGCCTGACAGCTGGTGTCTGCCATGTACTGGTTACAACAGAAAGAACTAAGAGGAAGGGGAGGGGAGGACAGTGGCCTGGGCGACAGCACAGAGCCTCTCATGGTGACTGGACCTATCTCATCGGCCACTGTGCAACCCCTGCCTTCCAGAGTGTTGGACACCCAGCGGGGGACAGGGGGTGACCTTGGGCACCTCAGGTCTGTGTCCCTAACATGTAGAGAGCTTTCACCACAGGGAAAACGCAGCGTTTTCACAGCATATTCAGCGTACAGGAGGGGGGTGCAATACAGAACAGAAAGGCATTTTTTTCCCCTTTAAGTCAATTAAAATTACACTTGGAAAATTCTGCAGAGAAATTAGAAACTTACATGTGGTGGCCTGAACACAACAGAGCAAACCAGGTGAAATGGCTGATAGTCACGTTTTTACCCTGAACACGGCCGTTTCATTGGGTTCCCCAGTGTCACTCACTATGGCAGGATCCTTCGGAGCCTTTGCTTTAAGTAGTGGGGGGCTGTCTATTTACATACCCAGGCCTGGCATCGTGTGGTTGTGTTTTGTGCCCAGAAATGATTGTGGAATGAATGAGCGAGTGAGCAGCCTCCCGTCCCCTCCGGCTGCAGTGCCAGGCGGCCGTCCTGTCAGTGTCTCAGACTGGTTCCAGCTTTTCCTGGCCTCGGGTTAACACCATGTGCTTTTCCCTTCCTCGCTCTCTTCCCCTGCCCACCCTCTGGCCCAGGCACTGGGGACTCAAGGTTGGCTTGCGTAACAGGTACTAGCAGGCATTTCCCCCTCCTGGGACAGGATATCCTGGCGCCCTTCAGTCTCCCCCTGACTGTTTAAAACAGACCGGAGCACAGGAAAAAACCTAACGCTAAAATTAGCAGCATGATAGAAGAAAGGCACATAGCTGCATTCTGTACTGTTTGTCAATGAGACAAGTCTAAACAGGGCCAAATGCATTTCCTTTTTGGGCAAAACAGACCTGTTAGGGGTGATGGTCAGACACCAACGAGAGAGGCAGCCTGTGGAGGCAAGGGGAACTATCTGAAAAGCCATGGGCTGCCCCTTGGTGCCTCTGGCTTTTTCCATCGGCTTCTGTCTGTCTCACGGTTTTTTTAATAGAGCCTGGTCCAACCTTCCCAGAGGTTGTGATGGCCTGGACATGCTCAGGAGAGGAGCACAGTACCCCTACCCCACCCCGGCAGGACAGACCCCCAAGAGACCTTGGGCAACCATCCCCTCCCCCCCCCCTCCCCCCCGGCTCAGGGTTGCAGCAAGACAGCTTGATTTCAGTTAATGGGGCTTCCCCCCTTTGCAAGTTTTTTAAAAAATATTACTAGTAAACAAAACACTGTCTTGCTCTTAAATAAGAGTTTGCAGGAAGTGAGATATCAGTTGCACACCAAACCCACAGTATTTCTCCTAACAATTCTAAGTAAGCATTTCAAAGACATTTCTTAAGACATGCAATGACCAATTTGATTATCCTGCTAGGAGGAGTTATTTTCAGAGCAAGAACTGTTACTTTTCATTTCCTTAACGCCACTAAAATATCTGTTTTTAATCCAGCTTTTCTCATCACATTTCAAAATCTTCCACTTCCTTCTTGGAGGGATGGAATTTGAGATAACCCCATCTGATGGAGAGGGGCCATTTCAGTGAGGCAGGGAAACCAATTCTGTGTGATGGCCCTAAGGTCAGCAGAGGGCAAATGGGTGCTTTTCCTAAACGTGTCCCTATCACTTGGCATGTCTGGGTTTTTACCTGCAGTCATGGAGAAGGGACAGAGGTAGGAGTGACCCGAGATCCCATTCAGCCTGCCTCATTAATTCTCAAAATCAGTCCAATGGGGGGTACCCATCATCCCTGCTTTGCAGCTGGGTAAACTGAGGGGTGAATTGGGTCCCATGGATAATACGTGATGGAGCCAAGATGAAACCCAGCCCCCTTCATGCCAGACCTCATGCTCTGCCCTGCTCTGCCCTCAGTACCCGCTCCTGAGGTCCAGCCTGGGTCGTGGGGAAGTGACCTGACCACGACCACACCACCTTCCGTGAATAGGGTGAAGAAGGGCCTTTCTAATTCCCACCCAGGCACTTTCCAGCACACAGACATCTGCCAGTCTGTCAGCCTCATTCTGGAAACTGTGTTTCTCCAGAAAGATAAGAGCCAGGATCTATTATTCCTGGAATGATTCACTTCATACTTCCTGCCATTTCCTCTATGGGGTTTGTTGGAATCGCACCTTCAACATGGGGACATGTTGCCATTCTCCACCGAGCAGGTCGGCTGCTGATGCCTCCACGCCCCGGCCCTTTCGGTCTCTGTGCCCACTGGACCACTGACCTGACTGTTCCCCAATAGGAAGTGGAAAGCCTGACCTTCCCCAAGTTTCCACGATTCACCCTAAGATGGCGGCAGAAAGAAACAGACGTTGAGGGAGACCGGTAGAGCAGAGCCCTGTTCTTGGGGGTGACAGTGCCTCCATGGCCACCATGGAACCTCCTGGAACAGTTCCATTCCAAATTCACAATGATGCCACCACTCTCACCCTCCCAAGACCACAAAGTGTGCTCATGCGATGCCCCCATTTCAGCCTGCAGTCGCCCCCAGAAGCCCTGGTGGCTTCCAGATTGTTCCAAAGAGGCTCCCTTCCTGATGGCTCTGGGCCTGGCTGCTCTATGCCTCACTCGCCAGGCATGGGCTCAAGACCGCGTTCGCCCTTCCCCCCAGGGCAGGCAGCTTCACTGCTCCTCCCAGCTGCTGTGGCCTCTTGAGAGGGCATAAACCCAGGCAACCCACCACACGGGCTGCAGGGGGACAGAGAAAATACCAGATAGCTAAGACTTTGGAAGGTGGAGCACGTCACCCGCGTGCCAGCACCTTGTCTCACAGTGGAAAAGGGCCGGAGGCCACGGCGACAGAGACAGGCGGTGCCGCTTGCGTCCTCAGTGCTTACCCCCCACCACGTGCATGTTTCTGTCTTGCTTCCGCCCATGGTGACCGGTGGGGCGACAAGCGGAGCACAGGGTGACCCAGGAGGTCGCCTTGACATTGGAAGGCCACCATGGGCCTTTCAGCCCCAACAGGAGCTGAGGGAGCCAGGGCTCTGCCTGCCCCTCTGGGGGCCCGGGCTACTTACTTGCCAGCTGGAACGCAGCTGCCATGGCCTCCTCCCAGCACTGGGAATCGGGTGACATCAGGGGTAGGCCCATCATCCCAAGGACGAAGGTAAGCTGGCCTACAGCAAGAGCCACCGTGGCGACCAGATTGCAGGCACGCATCATGTCGAACTGCACTGTAAGGGACCAAGAGGGAGAAAAGGGGGGTCAGGGCAGGGCCCCTCTGGGCTGGGGTTCTCTTCTTCCTGCTCTCAGCTCATCTGTCTGCGCCGAGAACCACACTGATCTCCCTTCCCTCCCCGCCACAACCCCGGGCTCCTTGCGCTCTGACCCCCGAGCCCCGACAACCACACCCGGTCCAGGAGTGAGGCACAGGGGACATGTACACAGGACCGAGGGGGGACAGAGCAGCCCCGTGGATGAACCTCAAAGGTAGGGGCAGTGGCAGCTGCAGTGGCAGTGTGGTCGAGAGGTCTAACACCTGATAGTGGCTGATTCACAGCTCTGCACTGCTGGGCAGCCTTCATATTTAGCGCTTGTGGAGCCGAGTCAAATGGAGGTGCTGTGCCACTTCCCACCTCAGAGCACACTTCTCCTCCTGCCCATTCAATCTGCAGCTGCTTCCTCCTCGCTGTCCCTCTGTCATTCAGAGCCTGAAGGATCTCGCCATTCCCGCATCCCAGGCCTCCTCCCAGTGCCTGCTCTGGCCTGGGGGTGGCACCACTGGCCCTGAGGTCAGCATGGATGAGGCAGGATGGTAGCAGAGGCCCTGGCTACTGGCAAGTCAGGGCAGCTTCTGGAAGGAAAGCCTAGCACCCGAGAAGCATAGGAGAGAAAGAGAGTGTGCACGCAGGCGTGCCACTAGATGCATGAGAGTCACCACCAAATGAGCTCTTTCACCTTGAGTCAATCTGAGCGCTGTGGGTTCTGCCCTCTCACTCACTTTCCTCAAAGGCACAGCCCCCTTTCCAGGTGGGCCACACTCCCAGGGAACTGAGCTCAGCATCTGTAGTCTTCAGAATAACCACAGGAACATAACTGCCATCTCCAAAGATGCTGACACTCCTCTGACCCTTTACAGCGCCAGGAGACGGGAGGCAGGGGCCAGGTGAGGTCATGAGAGCCCCCGTGATATGAGCAGGACCAGGCCTGGTTTGGCTGTGGGTCCAGAATGCTGGGAGAATGACAGTCAGTGCTCTTTGAGCCTTAGCATAGGGGACACTGGGCTTGTGCACGCTGGGGTGTGAGATTTCCTCCCTTCCCCTAAGGCTGAGGCCGTCAGCGTGGGCTAATAAACCCAGGTTCAGGGCTATTTGCTGGAACCTTCCTAGCTCCTCGTGCAGTCTTCAGGGGGCACCTGGAGGCGATGCCAGCCTGATGGCCCCATAGGATGGGGTGAGCCCAGGCAGCCCTTTCCCGCTTTGTCTGGGAAAACTGGTTAGCTTCTCACGGAGGCTGCTGTTCACAATGCTCTTTATATCTTCTTCGCAGTTGATTTTTTTTGCAACTGTGTTATTATTTACATGATGATACAGAGATCTTTAAAAGATGGTAGCATTTGGGAGGTGGCAGTGACCTCAGAGACGAGGGCGTTAAACACAGTGGAGGTTGACAGCACAGAGAGTGGAGTGCTGGCTTCACAGTCAGGCCCAGACAAGTCCATCCAGTCTCTCAAGCCCAGTCTCGCAGGTGAGCAAAGACATGAATGAACTGCTGGCCCGCAAGGGGCGTGGCCTGCGGTGGACATGAGCACCGGGGGATGGCCACGGGGAGTGCACAGTAGTGTAGTGGAGGCCACATGACCTAGGCTCCCGGGAGCCAGGAACAGAGTACCGGGGACCCCAGCTGGTCCCTCGCCACATGGTGCTCACTGCCATGCCCACCGGTCATGCTCCTCAGCCCAGCTCCACCCTTCCTGGCAGCTCTGAGCACCCAGCCCTATGCCACACACCCTGGCAGTGGCTCCATGTGGCGTCCCCACTGCATGCTGCACAGGGGCCTCTGCCCAAGTCACCAGGTCCCTGTGAACCCGTGTTGAAGATGTCTATCTAGAGGGTATAAAGGATGAACTGGGTACCGATCGCCTGCAGACCCGCCTCTCTGCCTGCCTATCCTCTGAGCCATGCGTGCTCCCTTCTCCAGCAGCCCAGAGGGGACCTGTCCTGGCTGGAATACACCATGCCCAGGGGTTTCACAGGTTCTCGCACTACCTGTATGCATAGCCTGGACAATAGTAGCACCTGGATTTTAAGGAGCCCAGTGAGGCTGTGGCATGAATGTCATCTGGCCAAACAGATGGGGTACAACTATGCTTCTCCCTTCACCAAACGCCCCGTCTTTTTGCCTTTCCAGTGAGACTCAGGCCATCCACCTGGGGCCAGAGAGCAGGGAATCATCACCCATGGGCGGGCGGGCAGGGGCTTTCCTCTGGGAGCTCGGCTCCAGCCATCTGCCTGAGATTTAATTATGTTTATTCGTGATGCACCTCGCTTCAGAAAAAAGAGCTTTGAGGACCTGACAGAATGCATGAAATATGGAAAGATGAAAAATGGCAGAGAAAACAAGGAACAGAGTAAGACTAACCCTGGATTTAGGTTGTGAGGTCTTTTAGGGAGCCAGAGGGGCACCTCAAGTCCCCTGAGTCACCCCCCAAACTTCCCAGGGAGGAAAGAGCCACCTGATCAATAATAAAAGTCAGGATCACCACACGCCGCCCAGCAAGCATCCTCAAGGACAGGACCCAGCATAACTTGCGGGCAGCTGGAGGACCTGGACTGGCCCCCGCGCCCCCGACCCAGCGCACTCAGGATGCCCAGCAGCACGGAGGCCCCGGACCAGAGCTGAGAATATTGGGTGATAGCCGCTCTTGATGTCTGCCACAGTGAGCCTGGAGCACCTCTGAGCTCCACGGGGCCTTGCCAGAACCTCGGGCACAGAGCTGACGGGAGCCTATCCGCTGTCCCCCAGCTGCTGCCCTGGTTGCCTCTCACGATGTCTGGAATCTCTAGGAAAGCCTGGCTCTCTGGGCAAAGCAGCGTGAGTGACGTGTGACAAGGGATGTGCTGCTTCCCCTTGGTGCCCCTGGATGGATGCTCGGGCTTGAACTGTGTGACTGTGCTGTCAGGGACTGTCAGCCCTGCAGCCCAGATCCCATCACCCCGTCATGGCTGGGTGGCGAAAATGGTGTTTATGCAGAGCCAATGGGCATTATCCAAGGACTCCTGCTCCCTCCTCCTGATCTCTGCGCCTCGGCTAGATCTGGGGAAGCTTGGGCTGGGGTTAAGAAGACTGGGCACCGGTTTGATTTAAGGTGGCGGCCAGCAGCCCCAGCTCCAGACCACCAGGCCCCAGACACCGACTTATTTGTCATGTTCAGTCCCACAGAGCTGGTGCGAAGCCCGCTCACTTTCCTCCATTCAGTCTCTCTCAAGAGAAGCTCTTGTAGACATTTCCCTTGTTCTTGACAAGTATTTGATGCTCAGAGATTCACTAAGAGTCAGCTGCCACAAATGCCATGCTAATGGTGAGAGGATATTTTAAAAGTTAGTCAAGGAGCTTCTCAGGTGGTCAGGGAGGTGAGGGCCAGCTGTGTGTCCTCCTGGCCTGAGGTGACCAGACCTCAGCATGGGGATGGACGGGATGGGGAGGCCTCAGGCTGGGGGTGGTAGAGAGGTGTGGGGCTTGGGGAGTCCACACTGGAGCCACCGCGGGGCCACTGGCTTTCATTGCAAATCAGGACAGTCTCCAAACCAGAAGAACGGTTCTCGACCAGCAAGAGACCCAAGTCCAGCTGCATTTTATCCGGCTTTCCATAGGCCTCTGAGCTCAGAGAGCTCATAGAGAATTCTGAGATCATTCATGCACTTTGATTTTTTTAAAGAGAGGTTTTTGTTCTCTGCTTGCAAAGGAGGAGGAAGGGACAGACGGTCACAGCCACCACTCAACAGAAGACCCCCTCAGGCTGCAGTAAGGGGCTCTGAGTGCACAAGAGGGTTGCATGCCCTCGAGGACCTCGGCTGAGCCACGTGCCTCCTCCAGCCTGCGTTTTTGGTCTGTGAAATTGGGCACCATCCCCCACCTTGGGTTCCTTCACATCTCTTCTGAGCCCATCCCATGGCAGTTGGGGACAGACACACACCAAGCACATCATATGCCTGTGTTGTGTGAGGACTTTAGGGACACCCTCTGACAGCATCTAGCAAAGGCCCAGCCAAAACCTGGTGTGTCACATTTCCTTAAAGGCTAGCATTTGCCTTTAGAATGGATGACGCCTACCTGTGAGTTAGACCCTCTCAGCAGTTTAAAGAGTCATCACAGGGAGACCTTTGCCCATCAGCCACCATGACTGTTTAGATGACAAGCATCTTCAAACATAGGAACCTTCCCTCCGTGCACGCAAATCTGACACTACTTTCAAAGTCAAGTTCTCACCTTCCAGAATAGTGATAGGCGCAGTGCCCGGCATGACCAACCAGGGCCCGTGACAAGGCAGCGGGGCGGAAGGGGTGAGGGCTCTGCCCTCCTGAGCCCACATACTATCAGCCCCAGGGTTCCCCCCCTGCCCTGCTCACCACCGTAACCACCATAACCACCTTGACGACTGCGGAATGAAGTCAGAACTCAGCCATGTGTTCTTAAGCTTGTTTATTTTTCTCATTAACAACCTTAATTTCCCACCAGGAAAAACGAATTTTCCTTGATTTGGTTGACGCATCTGTCCTTTAGCTCTGCATGAATGGCAGGGAAAAGCCCACTGCTGCGTGAGAACTGTCATGAAAGAGCAGAGGCAGATCTGGGCTGAGCAGGATTGACATGTGCCGGTGGCTCCCCAAGGAAGAGTGGACATTGAGCTCCAGGCCTGCCCGGGTTCCCCAAAAGCCAGTGTCACCCCTCGGAGCCGAGCACCCCTCACCCATCAGCAAACACAACCCATGTCTGCCACGGGCTGCGCAGGGCTGTCGGGCCCCGCCCTCTCTAAAGTAGACAGAAAAGTAAGCAGACTTACGTTTGACGGTGCCTCGTGACTCCTGGAAGCCTGCCGCCTCGGAGCCCCAGCCCAGGGCCTCGCAGTCCCGTGCATCCGCCTGCCCAGGCCTGACCCCGGGGCTCTGCCCTCCCCGGGCCCGGTCCACCAGCCAGCAGGACCTCCACAGCCCCACACTCCGCTTGCGCCCGTCCTCCAGCGTCTGGTACACCCAGTTGGGGGTGAAGGCTGCCGCGTTGTTGAGGACAAGAGAGACCAGGGCCACAAGCACGGCCGTAGCCACCAGTTTCTGGACGGTCATCGCCGACTGCCAGTGCCGTCCGCGTGTCGTGGAGAAAGTCCCAGACCCAGTCAGCTGCTATGGCCAGGGAGAACCGAGACGCTGCTAGGGGCGGCTAGAGGACATCACCACTCATTCTTGGAGGGTCAGGAAGGCCCGTGTGACAGGTGCAGGTGAGCCCGTCTCACGGTCCCCCTTACCCTCCTTCCTGCACCTGGAGCAGGGCCAGGCCTGAGGTGAAGGCAGCTGTGTGGCCCATCCCGGGAAGGCAGCAGAGCACCAGCGAGAGCCCCAAGTCCTGAGCACGCTGTCGTCCTGGGAAGCAGAGGCCCAGGGAGGCTGGAAGCCTCTTCTTCCCGACACGGGAGAACCGAGAGTCACTGGAGACGAGAGACAGGCGGCAACGTGGGGTCAGCTGGGCCTCACTCCTTGGAACCAGCTGAGCTCAGAGCAAAGCTCGCACGGTAGCCGGGCTCTGAGCAGGGCCTCTGGGAGCAGTGGGTTCAGCAGCCTCCGTGCTGCCCAAGCCCCTGCCTGGTGCCTCCGCCACAAAACGGCTGGTCCTGGAAAGCAGAGAGCCTGCTGCAGGGAAGTGAGTGTGTGTGTGTGTGTGTGTGTGTGTGTGTGTGTGTGTGTGTGTGTGTGTGCGCGCGCACACGCGCGCGTGCGTTTTCCCCCTGTCTCTCAGCAGAGAGGAAATGGTTGTTTTTGAGGCTGTTTTTGGTGAGCTGGAGGGCGTATCCAACTGCAACAAATAGCTGCCGGCCACAGCAGCCAGACACTAACAGGATGTGTTTCCTGATAGGAAAGGCAGGGGGGGCCTTCTGAAGTCCTACTCTGGGACCCTCCTCCCCAGCTCCTCCCCGTCTTCCTTTCCAAAAGGGAGGGCCTGTGGTGCCGGCCCAGAACAGACCCACGGTCCCACCTGGCTGCCTTGGAGACGGCCAGTCAGGCGCTCAGGTACCGTGGAGCAGCTGCAGGGGCAAGTGCTGCCCACGGTGCCCTGGGCACGGTGCTCACGAGGCCTGGGCCCGGGGACAGCGGCCCGAAGCTCGGGGCAGGTAGGGCCCTGCTGACCAGCCACCCGCCCAGCCCTTGGTCCTTTCCCCAGCAAGCAGTCTGCCATGGCCTGCCCTAGTCACAGGGAGATACAGATAGAGGAGGGGACTGCCTGGAGGGCAGGGTAGCGGAACAGCCAGCTGTAATGAACAGGCCCCTGAGATAGGCCCTCACCTTCCAGCTCAGACCCCCTTGCCTCGATCTGACAGGTCAAGGGCCTCACCTAGGGAACAGCCACACCAGGGCATCCAGGGCATCATGCTCGAGAATCAAGAAGGCAGGGCCCTGGACATGCCATGCAGGGCGTCCAGGGAGGCCTGAAGGGGATTGAACAAATGTGGCTTCTGGCCTGGGCTGTTGGCTGCTGATGGGACTATCAAACTGCATAGCTGATAGGGGACCAGGTCCATTTCTTGGGTGTGCTGGTGTACTTTGAACAGAGCCGTTCAGCTGCTGGGGGCTCGTACAGACCTCCGTCTGTTCTGCTCAAGCGTCTCTGAGCCGGCAGACCAACACAGTAAGAGGGTCTGTGACACCACCTCGCAGACCCACATCCAGCACAGAGCCGTTCACCCAGCCAGCACCCCAGAGCTGCGAATGAATAAAAAGGCACATGTGCACCATGGTATGTGAGCACCCATCTACGATGTGCAGTAAAACCCCTGGGGCTCCGGGTAATAGCACGTGCTGCCCCAAGGTGTAGGGAGGAGTGCCCTCACTCACAAGAGAGGAAGTTGGGGCTCAGAGAGGTCACGGAGATGATGAGATGACCTCAGTGAGGGACAACTGGGCTGGTCTCAGCCCTCCCCTTTCACCTCCCGCTTCTAGAGCTCCGGAGAGTTCCCAGTCTGTGTGGACGCCAAGCAGGGGCCCGCCCGCCCTGGAAGCCCCCAGAGCCCCTGCCCACAGTGCTTTCCATTTCATGTTTGCATGGTGCCTGTAGGTGCAGCACGCAAGGCGAGTCCCCCCCACATCATCCAGTCTGTGTTCCTGAAAGGCAGGTGGCCTTGGGAGAGTTGTGGGTCCCGAAAAATGTCCGTCCATCAGTTCCCTGAGGGATTTGACCTATTTTAGGATTTTCCCACTTTCCGTCTTTCCTTGGCTTGTGCCAGGAGAAAAGTTGCCGTTCCTGTTCCCCTCCTCCCTGTGGACCTGTTCTCGCAGCACCAGGGGCTGGATGAGGCAGGGCCCGGTGGTACCCACACGCAGCCCCTTCTCCGAGGAAGACGGGGGCCAGCAGTTCAAATAGAGTTCCTGAGCCCACAGTGCAATGGATTGAGGCCTCGAAAAGGAAGTTTTCCCAAGTCTCCATCAGAAGGGAACCAATTCCCCTCCTTACTTATGTAAATCACTTATTCTTAGGTAGTCTCTAAATGGCTAATTTCTGATAAAAAGCAACACAGGGTTTCAGATACAGAAGCACCTGCTTTGCTTGTCCCAGGAGCAGCTGCTGGGCCAGAAACATCCAGCTGTCTTTCCAGATTGGGCGGCGAGGGGGGCCAGGACCCCCAGGAAATCCTAGGCAGGGGCTGGGGGTGCTCCTGTCAGTTCATCAGGTCCTACACCCTCAGCCATTTCCCCAGAGTCTGGCTCATGGCAGAGTGGGAAGCTGGGGGGTGGGGCAGCAGTCCTAGTAGCTGAACTTGAGTTAGGAGTGACACTGTCTTCAGAGAACCCCTCCCCCATGTCCATTCATCCATCCTGTGACTAGGGGGTTCTGCAGGGGAACGGAAGCCAAGCCATGGGCTCTGCTCCCTGAGCCACCTGAAGGGCCCGTCCTGTCCTCCAGCATCGTGGGTCTTGGGTTCTGTCGTGGGGTCTAGCTGCAGTACCAGCATGTACTAGCACACGGACAAACAGGAGTTTTTATCTTAAAGCGGAGACGCGCAGGAGGTTTGGCAACCGTGTGTTCCGCTTAGTAGACTGTGAGGCTGTTTGTCTTCCAGTCACCCACGCCCTGACTGGGGGTCTCCACGGCGCAGGCCCGAGAAGAGGGGCCTCTGGGGGCTGGATCTGGCCGGCCCTCCAGCCGCCCCGTCTGCTGTGCGCATAGGCGCCGCTCTGGGTTGATGAAGTGCAGATGTGAGTGCTGTCCACAGACTGGCTCGGAGAACAGGAAACTCTCAAGACTTGGATAGAGACTAGGTGGTGTTTACTTCTTGGAATTTGTGTCAGATGCACAAACCCCAGGAGTGCACCCTGGAGGTGGGGCTGCCTGTGGAGAGGACCGGCGCTGATGCTGTGCTGGTGGCCATCGGCAGAGGCCAGCGGAGGACACAGCCAGCCCTTTGGGCCTGCACTATTGGGCAGTCCTGCGTTCAGCTGGGTGAGGAGGCGCCTGCGCCCACTGCAGTCCCCTCGGGCAGCCTCAGCCCAGCAGGGACCTCTGAGGGTGTGCGTCCAGCACAGGCTATTTTTAGTGGATACTTAGTTCCCAGGACAGAGGGCAGTGTGGAAATAACTGGACGTTTCAGTGATCTGGTGGACAGAATCCTTTGTCGAATATGTGCACACAGTATGCCCAGTGCTTTTACCCCAGGGAAGCACAGTGAAACCCTGTCAGGTCCCTGACCCTCTGTCCTCTGCCCCCAAGAGTGCTTGATGCTGGCCAGGCATACAGCCGTCCACACGGGGAGACACATAACCTGGCTCTGTCCACTGGGAAGAGTTCTGGGACGGAGTTTTCAGGTTTCTGTTTGTGCAGGTTCTTTTCCACTTTAATTGGATGCAGATATCAGCTATCTGCTTTTAAGACAAGAGAGGAAGGGGCCACCCCCAGCACTCGCCCTCACCATCGTCTCATACCGTTGGCATAGAGTATTTTAAAGAAGGTTCCAATCGTGGGAAAACATTTGGAAAGGGAGAATAAAAGGCCTCGTGTCTAACCAGCACCTTGCACAGCGGGCCTGGGAGGTCCCAGGCAACTCTGAGCCCCAGACCAGCACCCACCTCCCTGCGCTGCCCATGCCCACTCCGGGGCACCACCTCAAAAGAGCCAAGGCATGTTTAAAGGGGAACAAGAAGTCTCTGAGGAGCAGTGACGACTTTGCACCAGTTCTGTTAGTGGAAAGAGAGGAGTTGTACAAAATTGACAAGAAACTGTGGGTGAGAACAGGGTGTCTGTTTCGAGATTCCAGATTTGACCCTGGACCTTGTGCTCTCACTAGCTGTCATTTCTAGAACCAGCAGTATTTGGGGGAGCCTTGTTCACTGGGTCTGAGTCTGCCCCCAGACCCTCATGGCTCCAGGGATCCCCTGCCTTAGCAGTGGCAGTGTCCAGGCTGCATACAGACGTGCGCTTCTAGACACCTGGCTTCACACCCCTGAAGCTCCCATGGGAGTTCCAACCCGTGAGGATGAGGGAAAGACAAGCTCTGATTTTCTGCTTATTATAAGGAAGGGAGGGCGGCCAGTTGGCTCAGGTGGTTAGAGCGCAGGCTCATAACACCAAAGTTGCCGGTTCGATTCCCACATGGACCAGCAAGCTGTGCCCTCCACAACAAGATTAAAAACAATGGCTTGACTTGGAGCTGATAGGTCCTGGAAAAAAACACACTGTTACTGTTCCTTAATAAAGTTAATTTTTTTTTT